AATGGGCAGAATGAGAGTTGGTTGGTGAGGAAGCTCAGAGAAGGACATGCTCGCTGGCGGGAGCGAGGACCGCCAGGCAGGCGGAGGAGAGGCGAGGGTCGCCAGGCAGCGGCAGAGGAGGAGGTGTTGCTTGTTCAAGAAGATTGGTCAGACTGAATCTCAAGGGAGAGACAGAGCTTATATACACCCAGCAGCAGCCGCCAGTCCTCTATGAGTCATGTTGGGAAAACCCGAGAAGTAGCCGGTGACTAGTTCCGTTGCTAAGATAAGGTAACATCTGGGGACAGCTCTCGCTTGGTTGCTAGGGGAGGCGGCACATTGGAATGCGGATACGCTTGGTGGTGGGCTCCTATGCAGTTGTAGGGGAGAATTCCACTACAAGCTCGTTGATGTAAATCCAACATATGCTAGCATTAGGTATCCAGATGGACGCAAATCTATAGTATCTGTCTGTGATTTGGCCCCGTGTCCAACGATTCTGACAACTCCTGTGAAGCAGCATGATGTCGAATCTGATCACAAGAATCAGCCCTCTCGAGTCCATGACAATGGGACGAGATTGATGGATTCCCCTACTACACCTACCGGTAGTATTCAAGGTCGTGACTTAGCGTGTGAAATACTCAGTGAAGATGTTCCCGGTGACACCCAGGTCTACTCGAGTACCAAAGCCTCCCAATCATTATGGCTGGGATTAAGATCATGTACACGTATTTGAGTTAACTGCTGTGTTTACATACTATTAGTGTACATATTCCAGGAGAGAAGAATGTGATATTTTTAAAATATCATTATGGAAAATACTGTAATATTATTATGTTCATTGTTGTTTCCTCTTTGAATTTTTACATTTGCTTTTGTGTTATTTCAGATATGTAGTGAAATGAGTCAAGTAAAGCTTGGATGTAGCAACCAGGTGTTTTATTTACAAGTGGTCATTTTTAAAAAAAATTCTGGGGGGTTTACAGCACCCCGAGACCTCCAGCTAGGTGGGTTCACTTTGCTAGCCATGTTCTTGGAATCCCTGATGATATTCCTGGATCTGCCCCGGAAATTCATTTTGAAATCACCTTGAAAAACACAAGTTCATTCCTGACTCTTAACAAGAATTTATTGAATGACATTCATTTGTGTCTAACAAATTTATTATAAAGCTTTTCAAAGATATACTGTGGGGTACGGGATATTTAGTTCACACTCAGGAAGGGATGGAGAAAGGAAACTCACAATGTGCTCTCTGTTTTGGATGTACAATGCACCTTGGTGCTGGGAAGGCAGCATGGTTACAAGCGTTGAGTAGAGAGAGCTGGTTGGTGAGGGTGCTCAGAGGAGAACCAGCTTGTGGGTCGCCATGGTTGCCGGCGGGAGCGAGGACCGCCAGGCAGGAGCGGAGGAGAAGGAGGTGTTGCTTGCTGGTGGCTGTAGGTAGAAAGAGGTAGGTCACCACGAGGTCAGGTCTTATATAGCGGGGGTAGGCGTGGCTTAATAGTTGACCTCAGTCGTGTAAGGCGGCGTTGGTTGACCTAGACACGAGGTGCGGCTGGATTCGTGGGTCGGCTCGTCAGCGACAAAGGGCGTTTGTAGGGGAGGAATCCACTACAATACCTTACCTGAGTGTAGGACAAGAGCCCTCTTGGACTAACCTAACCTATTAGAACGTAAGAATGCAATAGCCAACCTAACCTATTTTGCACTTTAACTGAGGGGCTTTTGTCCGGATCCCACCTTACCTTGAGCAAAGCCTTTGACAGGGTCCTGTAGTGGACGTCTCCCCTACAACTGCCTACAACTGCGTAGCCGCAGCCACCAGCTGCTACCACCTTCCCTAGCAACCAAACTAGCGTGCCTTCCACCAGATGCCGCAGTATCTTAGCAACGGAACCAAAGACCAGCGACTTTCTCGGGTTTTCCCAACATGACTCATAGATGACTCACGGCTGCTGGGTATATAAGCTCTGTCTCTCCATTGAGATTCATTCTGGCCCCTCTTCCTGAACAAGCAACACCTCCTCCTCCGCCGCTGCCTGGCGGTCCTCGCTCCCGCCAGCGAGCATGGCGACCCACCAGCTGTCCTTCTCTGAGCTTCCTCACCAACCAACTCTCATTCTGGCCCATCTTCCTGAACACGCAACACCTCCTCCAGCAAGCTCCTCGCTGTCCAGCTTTCATTCAACCAGGAGGCCAGCAACAGGCAACATCTTCTCTAACGAAGCTCCTGCACATCTACCTCCTTCAACACGCTACTCACCGAACATCTCTACTGAGCAGCTCCTCACCACACGGCACCTCCAGCACCAGACTGTCTATCATATAACTTATATTATACAAGAAAACCACCTTAGAGTTTCCATCCATCCTGAGTGCTAGACAACATTATACCACGAAACCCTACAAATGGTGACTCCCGGAGATTAGCACTCACACAGGATGGAGGAGACACTGATCACGCTCCCAGTCTTCAAGCAGCATAGAAGAATGGCTTATCCACACAGAAGCAGCTCTGTTACTCTAAGCAGACACCAGCTCCTCTTCCTGCCCCAAGCACCACATCCTGACGACCCCAGCACACCCGTCCTGCCTCAGACGCCGACCCCGGCCCAGCAGTAACCCCTGCCGCCCCTGACGCGGCCTCTGTTCCTGAGTGCGGACCCACACACCCCTCTTTTCTCCCTCAGGTACTCCCTGCTAATGTCCTGCACCCTGCTGCTGTCGTGGACCCAGCTGCTGTCACGAGCCCTAATCCGCTTCTGCTGACGCAGCCCCTGCTCCTGACCCAGGCCCACACACACCCCAGCAGGCGCATCTGACGACCCTGTACCTGTCGTGAGGGAAGCACAACATTCATCGCCTCCACACACACCCTCTTTTCTCCCTCAGGTACTCCCTGCTAATGTCCTGCAACCCTGCTGCTGTCGTGGACCCAGCTGCTGTCACGAGCCCTAATCCGCTTCTGCTGACGCAGCCCCTGCTCCTGACCCAGGCCCACACACACCCCAGCAGGCGCATCTGACGACCCTGTACCTGTCGTGAGGGAAGCACAACATTCATCGCCTCCACACACCCTTTTCCTACCTCTCTCTTCCCATAGATAGTGTGTATATTGACAGTTGTATTCAGCGACCGGCTCATTCACGCCATCGCCGTTGTCTCACATGAGGCATGCACCGCCCGGTCTGCCTCACATGTGCTAAGCAACTCTACAGACAACAAGTCTCCTACACCGCCTGGAGGGAAGGGGGAGTATTGTAGTGGACGTCTCCCCTACAACTGCCTACAACTGCGTAGCCGCAGCCATCAGCTGCTACCACCTTCCCTAGCAACCAAACTAGCGTGCCTTCCACCAGATGCCGCAGTATCTTAGCAACGGAACCAAAGACCAGCGACTTTCTCGGGTTTTCCCAACATGACTCATAGATGACTCACGGCTGCTGGGTATATAAGCTCTGTCTCTCCATTGAGATTCATTCTGGCCCCTCTTCCTGAACAAGCAACACCTCCTCCTTCGCCGCTGCCTGGCGGTCCTCGCTCCCGCCAGCAAGCATGGCGACCCACCAGCTGTCCTTCTCTGAGCTTCCTCACCAACCAACTCTCATTCTGGCCCATCTTCCTGAACACGCAACACCTCCTCCAGCAAGCTCCTCGCCGTCCAGCTTTCATTCAACCAGGAGGACAGCAACAGGCAACATCTTCTCTAACGAAGCTCCTGCACATCTACCTTCTTCAACACGCTACTCACCGAACGTCTCTACTGAGCAGCTCCTCACCACACGGCACCTCCAGCACCAGACTGTCTATCATATAACTTATATTATATAAGAAAACCACCTTAGAGTTTCCATCCATCCTAAGTGCTAGACAACATAATATCCCGTAACCCTACAGTCCCTTACATTAAGTTAATAAGGAAAGTAGAAGCACAGGGCATGGGGGGTAATGGTTAACTGACAAGAAACTGAGGGTCAGCATCAACATACAAAATTAGGGATAGTATACCCCAAGGCTCAGAACGATAAAAATAGTTATCATATACTGTACATGGCTACAGTACCGTGTATACCTGTATTATACAGGGAACTGTGCCGCGTTTTTAAACTTTCGAACATTGTCTTCATTCCACCGCTCCTTGCGGCTAACAGGTCGATAAATGGGGGAAGAGCCGATGAGGATAAAGTAGAGTAACTGTTCTCTTTGTCAATGATGCCAAACAAGTACAAAAGGAAGTTAAGAAACGTTGAAATAATTAAGACTGTGTATAATGGCAGTGCTCGTTGGTACAGTTGATACAAGAGAATGTGGACGGTGTTTATGTTTTCAGAATGAACTTAACTCCATGTTTAATGATATAATAGATACTGTATATATCTTTTGCAGCTTTCTACTTTATGCTGGTGTTATTTTAAGTAGGTTTCATTTTCTATGGAAAGCGTATTCACTGATTATTTTGTAGAAAACTTGTTTTTAAGCACCCTTTGTTAGTTCACTAACATAATCTTTACTAATGGTACTCGGTTTCTCCATTTCTTATGGAATTTGGTTGATGTGAGATGACGTGTATTTCACACTTATATTTTCATTAGAAATATCGGTTTCCTTAAATTTATAACATTCTGGGGCCCTGAAAAACTGTCTCCGTCTGTATAATGTATTCTTCTCTCTTTAATCATCCGATGCTACCGATTATTATTATTCCAGGACCCTATCATGTCAAATAGATTATAAGCCACGGCAGGATAAAAAATCAAGAGGACAATAAGTGGCCTTAGTAACACGTGACTTAACTAATCAATATAGAAGCTGCCAACCATACTCTCCTGCCAGACACACGAACAATGCTACATCTCATATAGTTTCAATGAAACTTAAAGTGCTTAAAAAATTCTTGTTCAATGGGAAAGTAAATACTTTAATTTATGGTTTTAATTAACATGCTGAGAAATGTGTAGTACTGAACGTATTAGGGGGTTTTCCCTCAAAGGCGTGAGTGGTAAAATGTCGTACTGTCATTGGGTTGTCCGTAGACTTAACTAGTGCAGTCTCGACATGTTTTGGTTACACATCACCAGGACAGAGTAACTTTAATCCTGCCAGAAAGTGCTCATGCTAGCATGTTTTATAACGTCACGTGCCATGTACCCACGGCCTGTATTACTACCAGTACACGGAGTGTGAATTATACCTAAATCATCTACTTATTCTACAATACTCGAAAAATAATTGTGTACCGGTATTTTGATTGCATTTATTGTTTGAGCAAGAATTAAGTAGAAATACCAAAATGGGAGATAATTTTGGTTACACGTACCGCACGCCAAGAGCAAGCTTTGTATTCAAAATGCGACAGATATTGTCCCATGTCACTGATGTGTTTAGTGAATTTAGTCGGTTTATTGCTCCAGCTTATCACCATGACAGATGTGAAAGGTAAGCAAAAAGTATATAAGCTGAATATTAATAAGTTACTGTATCGTCAAATAAAAATATGCAACTTTTATATAGAATTAATTCCTCGGTGATTAAGAAAATGTTTATGGCTGTGGAATATTACTATGACTCACCACGCTTATTTAGAATAAAATGGAGTAGAGTCCAATTATATTGCTTATTTGTTATATATAATAAATCTGTAAGGAGGTAGTGACATACATAGACCAATTTATCAATAGATTTCCGTTGAGCCTCATATTATTGATTTTTAGCGCCAAAATCAAGCACAGAACTAAAGTAGGTTGATAGTTTTATCTCCAGAATCTTAAATATATAATAATAATATTCGGGGAACATAAAATGTCCTAAAGATGAGGAAATTGATTAATCAATCACTGGTAAATTTTATTGATTTTTGCCGGTGAGAGCATTTGCCAGTACAAAGTACTGAATGTTCATCTAATTACGAAAAATTACAATTAAATAATAACATTAAAATACTAGTAGAGATGGAAAATATATCATATGGATTTATATAAAGGTTTAGCAGAGAGACTGGAGGTTCTCGCTTGAATCTGTTTACAACAGATCAGCTGTTGTGTTGTGAGGCGGACGGGGGTGATGAGCCTGACACACAAGCCCGGGCATATCTTAAATATTGTGAACCATCAGCATGACCCCACGAGTGTGTCGCAAGGAGGACAGGAGTTACATAAATGGCTTCTTAAGAGAATTTGGATTGTAAATATTATCATAGCTTTTCCCCTTGAAATGATAAACAAAGTAAAGTCCCAGACTGTTGGTACTGTAGCTGAATGGCTGTATCTTATGTTAATGTGAACTGTTAGAATGTCATTGTAGCATAAGTTCAGAGTTGACGTACCTTAGTTTGTGAATGAATGTCAATTTATGGATGCATTGGAGGTAAACACCTTAAGCCCATTAAATACAAGACTACTCAAATTTGTTAATTTGGTAGTTATGCATGGTAATTATAGTTCAATTCGATTCAGAATCCTCAGGGTTCCTCTATACAGTACAGTACTGGACGCTTAAGTCCTCTTGTGGAATATGTCAGCTTTGAAGTCTTACAATATCTCTGATCTTTTCCAATGTTTTTTCAATCTGTTTTTGAAAGTACAGCATATACTGTACAGGTATATGCTTCTACCTGAGACAACTTCCTCGATCAAACATCCAAACTTCCCCTGCCCTCTTATCATTCATAATGAAAGTGGATCCTATAGGTATGACTGTCCATTAGAGGCAGTGTGTATACTTAGCCTTCGGTACACAAGGAGACAGCATGCCCGGTAACTACTGCTCTTGACTGCATTCACTTTCCCAAGTTGTAAACTTTGGTATCTATTTACAGCTGGGTGAACTGGGAGCACCCGGGAATCGAACCACTGACTATTGGAACAGGAGGCGAGCGCTTTATCCACTCGACCATAACTAAGAACCCATTGTATATGACGATTTTAATTTGGCAATATATATATATATATATATTGCCAAATTAAAATTGTCATATACAATGGGACTGTCATTGATCATTACTCATATTTTGTTCCAATAATGTAAGAATCTGTTGCTTAACCCTTAAAGCCCGGGTGACGTTCCTCTACATCCACCATAGTGACCCCGGTTGACCTTCCTCCATGTCCTTAATTTTTGCAGCTTAATTTGAATGTCCAGGCAGGATGAAGTACTTTGTATATGATCTGTATTTACTTGGCAATTCAACTTGCATGTAATCTTTGTCTCAAGTCTAGTGGTCCAGTTACCCACTAGCTATCATGACAGATGCATGTCCTTCAACTTCTCATGACCTGCCTCACTCCTCCACACTCTCAACAGTACAGTAGTACTTTTCATCAAGAAATGCTTGATTTGAGTGGCATTGATATAGTATCAGGTGATGAAGACAGTGGTGGGGAGGAAACAGACCTAGATGATGTCGAGTTTGTTGAGGTAGCCAGCGGTGAGGACATTGATACTGACAATGGTGCTCACTCACCCCTCCCCACCTCCTCAGCAAGATCGTGGTCATGGGCGCCGTGGTGGCCGTGGATGTTGGGGACCATATGCACACCAGCTACAACAGTATGCTTGGATTGATTGCACTAATTTTACGCCTGAAATACCAGTTTTTGACCGTTGATTTATTTTAATTTTTATTTATTTTTTTTGCTGAAATATACATGCATGGGGGGTCTGGCAGGTCTTTTTTGAGATGCTTAATGGTTCTAGTGGCTCTAAACTACCAATTTTGTAATCATGTTATACAGCAGACCCTCAACATATGCAGTAGGTCCCAAAATTACCATGAAATTGCAGATCGGGAGATATTGCTATGGTAATTCAATAAGAAATAATGGGTACGGGACTGCAGCCCCCCAAACAAAAAAAATACACCCTAAAAAATCCTTTAGAACACTACTTTTTGTTAATTCAACATTAATTTCATCACTTCAGAACACTTTTTAATGAATTAAATACAATAAAACTCCTTAAGTCTGCAAAACTGTTTCCTGGACTGCACTTGTTCAGACCCAAGGTAAGTGATAGGGCAAAAGAACTTTGGTTGTCTGTGAGTGGACTGTGTTGATGGTGGCCAGTGCTGTTGTAACCCCAGTCTTTCTCTTCACCATTTTCTTCTCACCATCCCACTCCTATTCACTGTCTTCTGACCCATCCCTCTTGCTTCAATTTTTTTATTCTCACGTAGGAAGTAAGGTTTTACAGGTACACTCGCTACACAAAATACTGTACGGGTATCTCAAGGTGTGGTCTGATGGATGTCAAAATGAACATTGTGCCTCCTGTTATCTCAGCAGGGCTGTTAAAATCCTTCATCCTTTGTATCATTCTGTCTACCCAAAAATTTTGCTTACCTGTATACTTTTTGTAGTAAGTGTACATCTAGGTATACTTACTGTAAGTAGTCTTACAAGTACACCTAAGTATACTTGAGTAGTGGTACACGTACACCTAGGTATAATTAGGTAAAGTAAGGTCTTGCAGGTACAGTCCCCAAAAAAGCACCGTTAATTTTTCAGTCTTTACAATTTGAAGTATTGGACTAAATGCTTTGATATGTTCACCAGTGCATCATCATATGTTCGTATGCTTGTTCCCCAAATTTTGGCAGTATTCATAACATATATTTACTGTACAGTACTGCACTGTAGATATATGGTTAATTTAATGCGGTAACATTAAGACAAATGATGGTTGTGTCTTATAATAGTTATGTGGTATTGTACAGTGTGAGTATAATATTCTCCTTCAACAGATCAGTCCAGATGCGGCTCTACACAATGCACAAGAGAGAATTTGTTATGGTGTTCATTGTGTTCTTTGCTACACTTGGCTTAGCACTCTTTATTGGGTTGGCAGGTAAGGCCAGTTATTATCTCCTTGTTTTCACTACCCCCATTTTTTTTTTTTTTTTTTTTTTTACTGTACCATACCTGTATGAGATAATATTTGAATTTATCATCATGCATACTGTAGCAGTTTAGGGATTTCTGCTAATCACTGGTCAAAGCTGAGTTCACCAGTAAGTTTTTTTAAGATAATACAGTAGTACAGCTTATGAATCAAGTGTTTGTTAATATTTCGGTAAATCCAAAATACTTTAATAGAATTGATTGATAGTCCAAATTTTCATGAATAACCTAGAGATATATATTTTTTTAATATATTTTATCAAAACATGGAATTTGTAGGTCCACCCATCACAGCCACTGCAGAACAGAGGGCTTCACAACTAACACCAGCAATCAACCAAACCCAGCTAACCTCAGGGCCCTTCCTTATGAAGTCTCCACCTCTCTCTACCTATGCCCAGCAGCTCTGGCTAATAGCAAAAATCATTATTGATATAAAAGATGGTAAGATATTCTTTAGTAGCATAGTTTTATGGGAGTTCAATATTAATAGTTATATCAGTTTGAAAATGTTGCTAAGATAAAGCCCAAGGTAAGTCATATCTTAACCCTTTGTTTAACCTTAAAGTTATTTTTTTAGTTTATTTTACTTGTACTGTACGTATCTCCTTCTAGGTTACAACTACCAGTACAGTGAGTTCTGCTATAACGCGTGTTTTGACAACGCGAATTGGCTCTAACGCGATTTATGAATAGAGGAACGATATTTGTAAAACGCGAACTCTTGTTTGCTGTAACGCGATTTTTGCTTACTATTTCTCCAATTTTGTGGTATTAACTGTGAATATGGTAAATAAGAATGTCTCCAAGAAGCGTTCTGGTGATCGCATTCCCGGTGATGATCGTAAAAGAAAGGCTATAACACTTGAAGAGAAGCTCGATGTTATCAACCTCAAAATCACCCTTCTCCCCCATCAAGTTATATTGATATTTTTTCAAGGTAAAGTGTTACATTTACTGTATGATTTCATTATTAGATATGAATGTAACATTTATTTAGACTGTGCAATCCTTTGTGTTAGGCTAACTACTAAATTTTTTTTGATTTCGAGTAGTAATCTGCACTTAACCCTATTTTCTCCATAAGCCCTGTTATTTCTATTACGCGAATTTCTATAACACCATGTTTTACAAGAACATAACTATCTCGTTATAGCAGAACTGACTGTATGTACAGTATGTAATTTAATATTACCACCTGTGCCGTACTTGTAGGATCTGGTCACATACTATCAGGCATATCATGCCTGTAAATGCAACAAACATGATAAATCTTTATATAAGCACTTTTGAGTTTGTTTTCTTTTATTATCAAGCCATCCTGTCCACTCCACAGAACAATCATTCCGGAAAGAGTTTCACCTTAGTGTATCCATTGAAGGTCTCACCAGAGAACACAAGATTGAGATTGCCCTTGCTTCTGAACATCCCCATAACAGGTAAAGCAGACTGCTGTGTGCCAGTGAGATAGTTTTGTTTTATGTCAATACATTATGGTACAGTACTGCTTTTATCAGAATTTCCTTTGCAACAAGTGTAGCTTTTACAACTTATGTAAATTGAATATATTGTCTCTTGTTTTGTTATGAATTGAGAACCCTGGCATAATATTTAAATGGAAAGTTAGTTTCATGTTTACTCTTTACTCACAACATGAATATATCACCTAAACAACCCTCGTGTGCAGGAGTCGAACCCTAGAGTGTGACCAGAGAGAGTGTGGGGAAGTGACGGTGATGCACTTGGGCTACCTCCGCTACACCCACTATGTCATCACCATTAATTTCTATGGCCTTGGGGATATTCAGCAGTGGTACAGCGTCCAGGATGTTGTCTTCTATGTGAGTCAGATACTGTTGAGTGGCAATGTTATGTTGTTTCATAAAAAAAAACTTTTAGTTGATTTATTGTGTGTTCTATACATCTTGATTTTTATACAGTATTTAAGTTTGGATAATAAAGACACAGTTCCCAAAATCAATGTCATCATGGGAGATGGTGGTGTTAGGAGTATAAGAGTGTGTCAGTGTAGGTTGTGTTGTGTTGTTAGTGGTATAAGGTTGTGACATGTGTCAGTGTAGGTGGTGTTGTGTTGTTAGTGATATAAGGTTGTGATATGTGTGTCAATGTAGGTGGTGTTGTATTAGTGGTTAAGGTTGTAATGTGTGTGTCAGTGTGGGAGGTGGTGGTGTTAGGAGTACTGTATATAAGGTTGTGTATCAGGTCACATTGCCTCCCTCCCTATACTATTCTCCTCCTGTGAAGGAAGAGGAAACACTCTTCAACTATTACATAGTTGGTGGAAAATCTTTGGAATTATTGTATGTATAAATTTTATCTCCATTAAAGTATTGTACTGTAATCATACATTTTCTAATGTGTATGTTTCTTCAGTTTAAGACGTACAATCCCACATTCACCAAGTTGGAGATCTGGTTCCGGTTCATCTTCCTGCTGATCACATTTGCCGTGGCTGTAAGTAACTCGGTGACCTATCAGTTTTGTTTTATTATTAAATGTTGGGTTTATTTGAATATATATATATATATACAGTGGGGTATGCTATAACGAATCTAATTGGTTCTAGAACCTTGTTCGTTATAGCATTCGTTCTTTATAGGATTAATCCGTTCCAGGCCCCCAAATACAACCACTTAACACTGAAAAATATAATATAAAATTGTAAAAATTGTAAAAAAGTGCATAAATATGCATCTAAACCCCTGAAATAAAGAATATCATTAATGCTTGTAATAAAAAAACAATAAATTAGTAAAAAAAAAAAATTTTTTTAAATAATGTTCGTTGTAGGAGTTTCGTTCGTTATAGCATTCTCAATTTTATAGGTAAAACCGTTCGTTATAGGAATATTCGTAGTAGGATCCGTTCGTTATAGCATACCCCACTGTATATATATATATATATATATACACACCTAGACCCCGACTTACGACGGGGTTAGGGACCCAAATCCAGGTCGTAAGTCCGACATGGTCGTAAGTATATATATATATATATAAAAAAATAAAAATAAAAAATTAATAAAAAATCTACAATGAAATACAGTACAGTAAAAGTAATGAATAATGATGAATGGATACAGTACAGTGAAAGTAATAAATAATAAGGAATGGATACAGTGTGACTGAGCACTTAACCTTTAATGTAGTCAGCTGAATGCACATGGGGCCCCCATAATTTTCTAATTATACATGGAGACTACATTAACTGGAAACGTTTCGGTATAGAAAATGCGTGTGTCATTTAAATTTTTTTTTTTTTTTTTTTTTTTTTTTTTTTTTTTTTTTTTTTTTTTTTATCTGAGGCGGTCGTAAGTCCCGACGGTCGTAAGTCCACGTAGTCGTAAGTCGGGGTCTAGGTGTATATATATATATATATATATATATATATATATATATATATATATATATATATATATATATATATATATATATATATATATTAGTTGTACCTCACTTAATCACAAGTCAATAGAACCCAGAGGTCCCGTGTTATGAACTGCTAAGTGAACAACAGAACATATGGGATTAATTCCAATAGAAACCGCCCGACCCCAAACTCCACTTTTGGAAGGCAATATACCTATGTTCTAGTAAAAATAACATCTTAATTTTATGATGGTACATGCACACAATTAATACTTAAGAGAAATAGAGAAATACAGTCGCCAAGTTAATGTCCATTCAAATAATGGACTCCACTCCCTCCCCCTCTTCTCACACTACACTGCCGGTTTCTTCCCTCTCTGAGAAATTTTTGGGGAAAACCACTAAATTTTAATAAATAATACCTCAAACTAAAGTTAGGATAATACAATTGACATTGCTGGATTCCTTGTAAGACCAGGAATATTTTGAATATAAATGTCATATATTTTGCACAAAAGATAACATAGTTACCTAGAGAAAAATTTTTTATCTAAAATTTGTATGTTTAATGCAAAATATATGATGTTTATATTCAAAATGATCACCAAATTATAAGAATTCCAGCAATGTAAATTATATTCTGACCGGGTAATTTGTATGAATTTTATGAGCTAAAACAAATATCTTCAGTTAATAAAAAAAAAAATAATCTTCAGGACACTATCTGTCAATCAAAGTACCCCACCTTGCCTCCCCCCCTCTTCCAACCGCGCGGTCAGTCCCAACCCTCCCCCCCACCCCCCACCAATCCTCCCTTCAAGAGTTTTTAACATTTAGTATTAAATAATACCTCAGATTAAAGTTAGGATAATATAATTGACATTGCTGGATTCCTTGTAAGACCAGGAATATTTTGAATATAAATGTCATATATTTTGCACAAAAGATAACATAGTTACTCTGAGAAAAATTTTTATCTAAAATTTGTATGTCTAATGCAAAATATATGATGTTTATATTCAAAATGATCATCAAATTATAAGAATTCCAGCAATGTAAATTATATTCAGACCGGGTAATTTGTATGAATTTTATGAGCTAAAACAAATATCTTCAGTTAATAAAAAAAAAAAAATATTCTTCACGGGGTAACAGATGGTCGGTCGGTCCCTCCCTCCCCCGAACCCCCCACCAACCGTCCCAAGGAGATGTGTGGGAAAACCAGAATACTTAACTTTTTTGTAATAAATAATACCTCAAACTAAAGTTAGGATAATATAATTGACATTGCTGGATTCCTTGTAAGACCAGGAATATTTTGAATATAAATGTCATATATTTTGCACAAAAGATAACATAGTTACTCTGAGAAAAATTTTTATCTAAAATTTGTATGTCTAATGCAAAATATATGATGTTTATATTCAAAATGATCACCAAATTATAAGAATTCCAGCAATGTAAATTATATTCTGACCGGGCAATTTGTATGAATTTTATGAGCTAAAACAGGCAGTCAGGCAGGGTGGCGGGTGGGGCAAATCTAAAAATAGCGTCTCGAGCCGGACACTCACCGCGTATATGTGGAAAAAATCCGTGTTAAGTGAAAGTTCAGCTCTGGCGAGGCACCGCGTATATGATAAAACGCGTTAAGTGAAACCGCGTTAGGCGGGGTAATACTGTATATATATACTGTATATTCTCTCCTCGACTATCGACAGCCCGGACGTACAACGGCCATGGTCGTACGTATATAATATTTTTCACATTACATATTTTCGAGTCCCAACGTTAGTGATTGAACTGTGCACTGACAAAATTTTTGTTTGTAATTCCCTTTAAAATGGCTGGTAAGCGTAAAAGTGAGAGTTCTCGTGGTGCTGAGAAGAAAAAGAGACACCGATTTTATAATTTCTATGAAGTATTACTTTCGCCTTTTCGACTTGCGACCAATTCACTTACGACCTGGTCGTGGAGGGGGGGGGGTGATAATAATAATAATAATAATAATTAACGGTTTATTGTGAAAATTCTGCAGCCCGAAGGCTGAAAATATATATTGGACATAAATGACTTATTACATACATTGGTGGTTTAACAAAAGCTTTCATTAGAGAAAGGTAAAGGATCATACAGATTAATGTTTACAGTGGAGGTCACGTAGATCAGGTACGCTGATGTGTTGAATAGCAGACACGTAGTTTAGTAACTCCCTCACAGATGGTGTTATGAGGGGCCTGATGTGGTGTAGTAATTCCCTCACAGATGGTGTTATGAGGGGCATCATGTGGTGTAGTAATTCCCTCACAGATGGTGTTATGAGGAACCTCACATGATGCTGTAGCAACTCATTCACTGCGTGGTGTCGTAGCATCATGGGGACACCATGTGGTCGGGTGTCACAGGACCTCACTCACTTAAGTGTGGTCCCAGGCCTCCCTATCTTGGATGGATTAACACAGGGGTTTTCAAACTATGGGTCCCGACCCTTCAGTGGGTCGCGAAATAAATAAATTGGGTCGCAAAATAAAAATGGGTCGCGAAAATAAATAAGAAAAAATAAATAAAATGGGTCGCGAAAATATATAAGAAAATAAAAATAAATGCACCATAATTTAGGCTTGGTTATTGTAATGTACACTCCACAGTCTAGGAAGCGACTGCAAGGAGAGCATTTCCTGATTCTTTCTTTACCTCTCATGTCAGTGTTTGTTTTTGATTTACTCATTTCATATCATTACACTGAGGTTTAATGGGTCGCAATTCAAATTGTTGTTCTGGCTGTGGGTCGCAGTAAAAAAAGTTTGAAAAACACTGGATTAACACATAGCTGGTGTTATTGAGTCTCAGGAGCAGTTATCACTGGGTACCTGGGACCTCACTGTGTGAAGGTTAGCTTGGGTACGACTCAGCTGTTACTGCTGAGTTGCTTTTCACTGACTTGAGCACTGTTCACCACTATTCAACACTGGTTCCATTCCTTTCCTAAATGAAATAGTAACTTCTGGTGAGAACTTGTTGATATTCTGGTGGGGAGGAGGGGTTCAGGGGAGGGTGTTGGTATGGGCCAGGTACATCTTTACCCTTCGGTGTGTGTTTGTGTACGTGCGTGCATGCGAGCGTGCATGCGAGAGAGAGAGGATGGGTTCAAAATATTGTGCATGACCTATCAACTTTTTAAGAGGGAAAGAAATGATAGTAGCAACAGGTGAAATGCTAAATGTTGGCTACTTGTATTTGCTTATAAGAGGTTAAGCACCGCTTAAATTAGATCATTACTGTACATATGATGAGAATTTGTAAAATGACACTTAACTTCTTGCAGCAACTTTAATGTTTGTTAATTTTGGCAGTGCTGGTTGGCCCACAGTCTGCGGAAGTATGCAGTGTATGATTGGTCCATCGAACAGAAATGGATGTCTCTGCTTCTTCCACTTCTTTTGTTATATAACGGTTAGTAACATCTTCATGAAAAGTGAAGAGTTTGAATGAGTGACTCTCAGATGATGAGGTGGGGAAGTAGATGGGTTGTACCTGATGTACTACAGGGAAAAACACATTATGAATTAAAAAGAGGCAACAAAAATACACAACAAATTGATATAGACAACAAAAACACGCCACAAATTAAATGAGGCAACAAAAACACAAGAGGGATTAAGAGGAGCATCCGGTTGAAGCACAAAATTCGTTAATAATTGATTAATCAAAAGCAATTTCCTGTCAGCAATTAGGGACACCAGATACATTGTTACTCTACCCCTGAGTTGGTTCTACCTAATTCCTGATATCTGATTTTTTTCCATATTTTCTTATCAATTTTCAAAATCATACTTCTCTATAATTTCTTGCTAAATTACGTTGAAATTCATGTGGAATATATAGGTAATTTACTCTTCTTGAACGTGACAAATAGATATTTTTCATTATCCCTTTCGTATTGGGTGCATTTTTTTTCTTAACTTAACATTTTTCCTTCAAATATTTATAAAGATAAATCAGTAAATAATAAATCAAGTCAAATATAAAGAAAATCTATATCTAACGCCATGCACAATATATTATTCGACTACTTGGTTTTTGTTTTATTTAGAATCGACCCATAAATGGCTGAGCCTTAAGGTTTTGAAGGTTAGAAAAACTCGTTCTGAGATACATGTCAATGAAGGTGGCATGAGAGCAACTCACGATCGTACCTCACTCTCGCATGTTTGATGGGTCACTGACTCTCGTGAGGATCATGACAGTCTTCTGTGTGGTTAGCTTGCTGAGAAAGGTGCCAGATACTGATTTTTACCAAGTGATTGGTATTACTTTACACCTAAATATTATATTATAAATACTTTTCTACAGCTTTTCCTATGTAAACAGAAGGGCCCTCTAAGTGAAGGGGGGGTAGAGCAATTATGCATAGCTACATAAATATTACAAATTACACAATAAAAATACATCAACATATAGCCATAGACAACAGCTTTCCTCAGGAATTTTTCTGAATATTTTCGTAATTTTCCAATTTTCATCGTATTTTCAGCCGGACGCTCCCCTTAAAATAGGCAAAAAAAATGAAGAGATTAATTAATAAGCTGCATTTTTTATAACTCAATAACCCTTAACTGGTGGCTAAGGATTCCTTGCTCCCCCATATGCACAAAAATAGAATGCAAGAAACATAAAACTTCCATAGATGATGGCTGCCGTCCTTGCAGCTAACTCCCACTGATGATGGTCGCTGTTTGAAGGTTAAAAGAATATGAACGAATTTGTATTATGTAGGAAGGTGTTGAAAATTTTAGTTTACAAAAGGTTATATATCTTGCTGGAGTAATTTTGGTCATACTTGTTGTAGTGAATGAAATGATAACATATATCCATGGATCTTAGCAAAATTGATAAAGTAGTGATGTTACCTGTATAATCTTATGTCAAGAATGAAAATTTTCACTCATATCACAGACTGAAAGGAAGGCTTTCTCTCCAAACAAGCATACCATTCCTTACCGATCTTTGGTACATTAAAAAATAAAATGTACTGTATTTGGAAAAGAAAACAGGTATGATTTAGATACCCCAACTTGTTGTAATGTCTTTACTGAATTGCCATAAAAAATTAATGTACTGTTTCCAGACCCAGTGTTTCCAATGACCTTCCTGATGGAGTCATGGGTGCCAGCACTTGTGGACACAATGTTCCAAGCCTCTTTCTTGTGTGCCCTTCTGCTCTTTTGGCTCTGTGTTTACCATGGTCTAAGACAGGTGAGTTATTCCTTTCTTTAATTCATATAAGAAGCTCACAAATAGCTCAGTTGTCCTCTTTTATACTGTGTATAAGAAACCCACAAACAGGTAAATTATTCTTGTGTTTACTGTGTATTACATTTTCACAAATAGGTAAGTTTTCCTTATGTTTACTGTATATAGCAGGTCCTTAGATAGGGGAATAGTTCTTATTCTCCTGTGTTTACAGCACTTGCATATACAAAAACACAGTGGGTAATAAATTCCTAAAATGGAAAAATGGTACTTATAGAACCAGATTCAATATATAAGTACAATAATATGATTGCTCAACACATTTATCAAATGAAAAATTATTGCAATGGAACTACCAGGTATGTAAAATTCATGTGTATCCTCATAGTATGTTACAAGATATGGTAGCTATAGCGCATTTTTTCCCAGCTGAGAAAAGATGCCCCACCCCCTCCTCAAGAGTTACAGCTGAGTGGCTGTTGCAAACCTGTCCGATTTTGTCCTGAAGTAATGATGTATTTCTAAATGAGTTTATTAATAATCGTTTGGATGACCGTTTCTGATGAGAAAGATATTTATCTAAATTATATAAAGATACATACATTTATTATTTCAAACATGGGCACGTAGGAAGTTTATGAGAAATCTTATACATGAATTAACTGTTAAACTCTGGTAGCAAATTGATGCTTTCGGAGGATGCATTTGATATATACTTATTTTTACCCACAATAAGACATACTAAGACAAATTACGTATCAGTAATACTACAATATGTAAAAACAACATTTTAAAAGATCAGAATCACATTGAAATATTACACGACCGTCGGCAGAGGTGGGAAATATGACTGAGAACAACTTCATATTTTCCTGCCTCTGCTGACGGCTGTTCACTGGAGTGACCAAGTCTGTCGCACTCATCCACCAATTTTCAGGGGCCGTGTAATATTTCAATGTGATTCTGATCCTTTAAAATGTTATTTTCCATAATGTAGTTTTACTGATATGTAATTTGTCTTAGTATGACTTATTGTGGGTAAAAATAAGTATACAGTATATTAAATGCATCCTCCAAAAACGTGAATTTGTTAAGAGATTTCTGATAAACTTCCTACGTGCTCCTGTTTGAAATAATGAATGTAAGTATCTTTATATAATTTAGCTAAATATCTTCCTCGCCAGGAACGGTCATCCCAACGATTATGAATAAACTCATTTAGAAATACATCATTACTTCCGAACGAAATCGGACAGGTTTGCAATAGCCAATCAGTTGTAACTCTTGAGGAGGGGGCGGGGCATCTTTTCTCAGCTGAGAAAAAACGCGCTATAAGACACCATGCTATTAGGTGGAAAATGGCCATAAAATGGTGACGGTGGGAAGGATGATGTGAGGAAGTCAGTCAAGAAGTTCTAGATATTGTAACACATGGACAGGTACTGATAAATGTTTTGTAGAGATTTTAGTCACCTACACAGGGAGTGTACCACCACCACACAGTCCTGGGTGTTAGTTTACAATAGGTTTAAATTGTATTACAAGGGTGTTTACTTTGTTTATTAACCCAAGTTCCCTTTTATCTAAAGAGACCAACTGTCACTTTTGCCACACAATCTCCAAATGTGTGGATCAGGTTATCTTGCAAATACCAGTAATAGGTAACTTATATTCCCTGTCATGGAATTTCAGGAGAGTTGCATTTCAGAAATTCACATTGTTTATTCTGCCTCAAAATCTGCTAATCGTAAAGTGCTTTATGGCTTATTGTATGATCATTTATGTTCTTGGTTAAGTACCCTGTACATTGAAATCCTTCAGGGGATCTGAAGGCAAGCTACCAGGCACTGGGTTGTTCAACAGTAGCAGTTTCTGTAGATAACTTCTAGTGACTTGTCTTATTTCCCACAAGTCTGTCTTTTCTTTCTTCATCACAGTGGCATTTTCTACAGGGATTTGTCCCAAGGCATTATCATCTCAGTCAATGAATTCCCTCTTGAGGGATTTTGGGCCATTTATTGTTGCTTTCATTGAGTTACAAGAAGTGAATGTGAGAACCCCCAAGGTTGGATTACTATTACCACTAATTAATGAGGAAGATTGATCTTTAAAATTGATACAGTACTTTGTTAACCACAACTGTGAACATTTTAAGAATTTCCAAATTTTCATTTTAGGGAAAGCCTTTACCAATTCAAGGTACTTCTTCATTTTTAACCTTTACCTTTTCAGTCCCATCAAACTTTTTCTTAAAGTATCCACTCTTGTACTTCAGTAGTCCCTATAATAAGATTTTCCATAAATTTTTACAACAATTCTCAGACCAACTTCCTATTCATTCACCATTTCTCAATTATGTGACTCTTTTTTCCTCTTTCAGAATGAGCGTTCGTTTTTGTCCTTTTACTTGCCAAAGCTGTGTATTGTTGGATTGTTGTGGCTGACAGCAGTTATAATGGCAGGATTACAGAAATACAATGAACTTCAAGATCCTCTGTACTCTGCTGCTATAGAAACTAATCACTTTCAGGTGAGGTTTTTCAGGAAGATTATACAGTAGTTGAGATGAGAATTTAAGGGCAGGGCAAGAGGGTGAAGACTGTACTCCTGATATTAAACCATTCAATATTTGACTATATTGAACAACAAAATTACCCATTTCTCTTTTCTTTTTTTTTCTCAGAAATTCAAGATATTTTTCTTCATAATTGGGTCATTTTATGTGCTGTATCTGGCATATCTGATCATCACAGCCTACAGTGAACTAAGAGCTATGCCATATTTTGGTAAGTTTCTTCTTATTTTTATGTCATATATGGTACTGTACAGTCTTGGACAACTACTGTATTAGACTCAGTTATCCACATTGCAAATATAAGTTATCCAGTATTTACCCATCCTAACACTGTCCACATTTTGTCTAATAATTGCAACCCGAAATAGACTACCCACAGCTTAAACCATTATATGTGTAAGAAATTAAGTAGTGGTTGTCTTTACCAATCAAGTTAGTAACATCAACTCAACCAATCCACAAAGAGTGATGATATACTGTACTGTAGGATTCATATCATTTACAAGTCCCTCTCAAGAATTGTGGATCTTTGGGAATCACTCTTTTACATTTATGAATTATGTAGACTTGGTAAAGAAACTACCGTTACAATTCCTGTTTGAAACAAACTGACACTACAAATGTAGTGTTTCAAAAAGGCCCCTGAGGCACTCCTTGCATTGGTAGCCCTGTGCCACAAGTGCTCGAAACAAATGATCGGCACTCTGAAACGAAACCCAGTATACAGTACTGTACTAGACTTTCCGTAATTATCAACCGTATGGCATTACGTCGGTGGGCCGGGTTCCATTATTGACGGCATGTGAAACTGTGGAGCTATTCAGACGTTTCGGAACAGCTTGGTATATTTTCCAATACGAATAAAGAATGACATAATGTGGCATTGACCCAAAGTGAAGTAGCAATACAAATACAGATTCAAAAGTCGGTTGCAAAATAATCTTATACCTTTACTATATCCACTAATTCTGCCAAACATGTAATGCATTCCTCCATGGCAACTCATTCACTTCCATGGTTACTGTAGTCCACGGTGTGTGGAACATTTAATATAACATACAGTTTAACTTATCTAGATATACAGGGGCCCCCCAACTTTGCAGATATTTATTTTGCAGTCCTCTATTAGTCACGGATGACACCCTGGATTTCTGTGGGTACAGTAAGTCCTTGCTTAACTTCGGGGTTACGTTCCTGAAAATGCGACGTTTTACGAAACAACGTTAAGCGGATCAATTTTCCCCATAAGAAATAGATAAAATATGGGAGTTACGTTCCTAAGCCTCCCTTTGCTCCATGAAATACATTACATATACAGAAAATCATTGCCATTTCTATAGAAAATAGTGCATGCATATTCAACTCCTAAGTTTGTATTGGTACTCACCGATGGGCGGAGGTGGTAGAGTGAGTGTGTGGTGGGTAGTGAAGCGGAGGAGGCGGATGGCGGGAGCGAAGGAGGAGGGTGGCGAGACACTGAGACTCTGCGGCTGCCTCCTCCTCCTCCTGCTCTGACTGGGTCTCCTCCGCCGCTGTTTGCTCCTCCTCCGTTTATGTTTGTCCTCCTCTGTTGTTGTTTGCTCCTCCTCGGCTGCTGTGTGCTCCTCCTCGGCTGCTGTGTGCTCCTCCTCAGCTGCTGTGTGCTCCTCCTCAGCTGCCGGGTGTTGTGAAGCTGCTGCTTCTGCTGTCCCACGACGAAAAAATTAATCCAGTGTTGATTGCTTGGTGCTACTATTCTTCTCCTTATAGATCTCAGTGTAACAACCAAGACCGTCATCAATGCTGAGTTGAATCTTTGAGCTCCGTTTTCTGTTTGGGTCGTCATCCATAAGGATTTGCATTCCTTGCAGGATCATGTTGAATGCTTCTGCCATCCTCTTGGAAGTTAACGTTCGTTGAGGTTCCACTTCGTCGTCTTCAACGGGACTGTGTTCTGTTAACAGTTGCAGATCTTCGTTGGTGAGTTCTTTTGTATGGGATGCCAGGACTTCCTCAATATCCTCTGATTCCAGCTCATCAAAGCCTGCCTGTCTAGCCAAGCTGAGGATATCCCTATTAACTGCTGGGACTATGTCCGTGAATCCCGTAAAACTGTTGTCGCACTCAAGACACAATTTACACCACACACCATTCAGACAACTTTCTGAAACCTCTTCCTATGCCTTGCCAATTGCATGAAGAATGTTGAAGCCCCGCCAATATTCTCTGGTCGTATGTTTATTTTCTCTGTCTGTAGCCTTGAGCAGCTGGGCCATGGTACGGTGTAAATAATATGCCTTGAATACGTCGATGACGCCTTGGTCCGTAAGCTGCATCAGTGCTGTCATGTTGGGAGGCAGGAATACAACTTTTACACTGTCATGCAAGTCGTCGAGATTGGGAGGATGAGCTGGAGCATTGTCAACGATCAGAAGAATTTTGAAGTCAAGGTTCTCCTTGGCACAGTATTCCTTCATTGTAGGGATGGCGTACACGTTTAACCACTGGCTAAATATTGCGCTGGTTATCCTTGCCTTTTTATTTGCCTTGTATATCACAGGAAGGTGATCCTTAGAGTAACCTTTCAGGGCCCGTGGGTTGGCAGCGAGAGAAATCAACATTGGCTTCAGCTTGAAGTCACCGGTAGCGTTCGGGCTAAGCAGCAGTGTCAAGCGGTCTTTTGCTGCTTTAAAACCTGGTGCTCTTTTCTCCTCCTTGGAGATATAGGTCCTCTCAGGCATCCTCTTCCAAAAGATACCAGTCTCATCCACATTGAAGACTTGCTTCGATGAGTAGCCTCCTTCCTGGATAATCTGTTTGAATTCAGGCGGGAATGTTTCGGCAGCAACCATATCTGAACTAGCAGCTTCACCAGTCATCTTTATGTTGTGGAAGTTATAACCACACTTAAATCGTTGAAACCAGCCTCGGCTGGCCGTAAAGGTCTTTTCCTTCGATCCTTCACCCTCTGTTTCCTTCATGTCGTCAAACAAGGATATGCTGGATAACCATAAGGCTCAAGAGTGCATTGCGTTGACTCTGATCCTCCATCCACATAGCCAGCATCTTTTCCACCTTTTCTGTCAAAGTGCTTCTAGTACGAGTTGTTTTAGTTGCACTGAGAGTAGTACCACTTCCAGCACTAACCTTAATCTTGTCAGCGTTGGTCCGGATAGTACGCACCGTTGTGGGGGTTAGACCAAGCACAGCGGCTATGTCCACAGCACGTTCCCCTTTTCAAATTGGGTTAGTACATCCATTTTCATGGCCTGGGTAATGGTCTCACATTGCTTCTTCACTACACTAGCATCAGTAGCACTTGTTGGGCGCTTGGAAGCCATTTCAAATGGTTAGGGTACAGTTTTAGAGCAAAAGCACTTAAGCACACACGAATGATGCGAAGTCGTGATAGAGACTGGCTTGGCGTCGCTTAGGGACGCTGTGACGTTCCGCGAGTAAGGGTAGCGCGGCGAGCCGAGAGGGCGATGCGCCGTAAAATGTAGTCTGAGATGACGCAAACGACGTAGTACTGAGTCACCGGGATGTTAAGCGAATTTTTGGTCTCTAATGTTTAGTGACGTAGTACCGAAACAACGTTAAGAGAGGACTTACTGTAGTTTTAAAGTTGCTTTATTACTTTATTAATAAAGCATGGACTTGAGGGTAGACTGTCACATTTTTAATAAATTTATTTCTGATTATTTGTGAGAGTATTTTCCCATTATTATTTATGTGTGTGTGTGTGTGTGTCTGTCTACACACACACACACACACACATACAATACAGGTAAAAGAAATAATTGTCCTAAGGGCAAACACATAAAGGGAATATACATTTCTTTGTACACAAGTAAAAATGCCCCCTCCCCCCCCTCCCCCCCTGCTCCTTAAATGTTATTTGTGGATTTGGCTATTCGCGGCCATTTTGAGAATATAACCCGCGACTTTGGGGGGGGCTCCTGTACTGACATTCTCCAATCATATTGTAACAAAGTAATTCAATATTTTCAATGAAATAGCCAATTTCGGCCTACCAAATATAGTACGAAATGTCTCGCATTCAGGCCTACCAACCCTCACAAGACAATGGGAATTCAGTTGGAAAATCATCGGATCCCACCTGTATGATATTTTTTTACTGAGTGTACATCTCAAGAAATATATATTGTAATTTTAGAATTATCTTTCTTTCAGGAATTATGAAATTTTTATCTAAGTACTGTACATGAAGACATGGACAAATTGTACCCAAGAGTGTGCCATCCAACTGACCTTATCAAATCCTATCTTACTGTTTGTAGTCAGTTCACCATCTAGCTGTGACCTGAGCTTTCCCATTGTACCTAATTTTTGGAGCTGTGTATGTGTAAATTTTTTTGTAGCCTAAATTTTGCAGTGAAAGGTAAATTAATTTTGAAAAAAATTAATGTTAGTGAATTTTTGTGAGGTTAGTAAAGTTACTGTATGTTTAAGTGTTACCTTGGGTGCCTTACTGTTGTATTTTTAGGGGAAAAAGTATCTGGTGATGTGGTAGGATGTGCCACTTCCCTTTGAGGTTTCCAGAAGGTGGTAGAACACTATAACTTCTCCCAGACAAGTGCTTTCTATGAACAGTGTTTAACAACAAGGATACTAAAATGATAGTATATAGAGGATTTATCAGTAGAACAGGATCATCATCTTCACTTGTGTACATGTTGAGGAATGCACTGGCTTTAGCTACTCTTGTCAGCTGTGATGTCAAGCCATTTACTGTACCATATATACTCGTGTATAAACCGATCTCATATGCAGCCACTCCTCGACTTACAACGGGGTTAGGGACCCAATTCCAGGTCGTAAATCGAATTGGTCGTAAGTTGAAAATGCGAAGATAATACTGTACATAGAAAATCTAAAATGGGTGTCTCTTTTTCTTCTCAGCACCACAAAACTCTCACTTTTAAGCATGCCAGCCATTTTAAAGGGAATTAAAAACGAAAATTTTGTCAGTACACAGCGCAATCACTAACGTCAGGACTCGAAAATACGTAATTTGAAAAAATTTTGGTACAACTGGGGCGGTCGTGTGTTCGGGTGGTCGTAAGTCGAGTAGGTTGTAAGTCGAGGAGTGGCTGTATACTGTAGTTTGACCTCCGATTTAAAAAAAAATTAGATTTTCATATTCAGTATCTCCAGTATAATTTGACCTTGGCTTTTGAGAAATACCTGGACTAGGTATGATTCTAGACATAATTTGTAGCAAGACACTAGATTCACACCAACACATATTGGCTGTGACCACCACCACAACAGTTAACACTATGAACAGTGTTACCAACTCTGAGACTGAATTCTCTTTTGTTACAATTCCTATGAGGAATAAGATAAAATAATATATACCAGTACATTTTTATCATGCGAGGAATAAATAAAATAAAAAAGTACTACAGTATACGTAGTACTGTATATATTTTGCCATTCGGCTGCTGGACGAAGAAATTTGTCAATTGTTTCACTACACATAGGAGGCAGCTCAGAACATCTGTGATCCCTGCTCAGCATGTACTTTAACACATGAAGGAAGTTTACAGGTATTCCGTTTTATGCTTTTGACCTTATGATAATTTGTTTTTATTATATTTTTCGAGGCACATTCTGTATGTAAGATTATATGTGGATTCAGCATACAGTAGTAAAGCATGAAGAAAGTTACATACTGTATACTACCTGTATATACCTGAAATTACGAGTTGAAAAATAAGTATTGCACCTCACAGCTCAGCCTGGTAGTGAGAGGGCTAAAGGGGTGTGGCTGCAATGACGAGCCTCACTTGGCAACAGTACCTCCAGTAATGTTAACAGATGTAAATGAAAAAAAAATTATCTGTAAGTCTTCATTTTTTATCAGGTATTTGTAGATTTAAAGTAACATATATATAGTGAATAAGTTTCTGTTCTTCATGGAGCAACATAAAGAATGAATCTATGGCTATGGTAGGCAATCCTATCATAAAGGAGCTTACTGGTCAGGTTAGCTTACCGCTAGCATGTACCGGGTAGCTATCGTTCATCGTAAATGACCCACAGAAATGCATGAATTTTAACCCTCCAAAAATAGTATGCGAATATAGTTTGGCCCTCTACTTTTTGCATTAAAATTTTATCATAAAAATCCGAACCTGTACCTATTTTATGTGGAGGCAATGGAGCATTTAGGAAAATATGGTTAATTTTAATATTTCCCAACACGTGTTTTCTGAAGCTCACAAAATGCAGATCACTTGCTGGGGAATTGGAGTCTCTCCCATAATGCCAGCCAGGCTTGATGTGATGTCTTATTTGGGTTGGAAATTTGAAAATTTGTGTTTTCTCTGACCATTAAATTTGATTGTTAGGCACAATAACTGAAGCACTTTTATGGCCTTTAGATGTGTCATAATCTTTTAATATGCGAACAACTTCTCAGTCCTTGATACTGTATATTGTCTCACTTCCTGTAGACTTGCGACTCAAGTTTGTGACGCTGCTGATGTTCGTCGTGTTGTGCGTTACCATCACCATCACCATCTTGAAGTTTGGTGTTGGAGTTCTCGAGGATAACTTCGTGGCTGAGCTGTCCACGCATTATGACTCCTCCGCACAATTCATGGCATTCTATGGTCTTCTTAACCTTTATCTCTACACGATGGCTTATGTTTATTCTCCATCAGAGAGAGCTTTACTGGGTGAGTATGGCACATTTTTGTAGTAAAGGTTTAAAGTAATTTTTCAGTAACATAATCATGGGTGACTTAGAATCCAGGGGCTACTTTGAAAATTTTGATCTTTCAAAATTCATTTTGATTTTCATGAAAGAAATACTAATAAAAGGTGTGAGTGACATCAGTAGCTCATACACAGTAGTAATGCATCTTTGTTAACAGTGTAAGTCTTATATGAAGCACAAAAGATGTTTTTCACAGTGAATGTTATGATCATTTTCAGCTGAACAATCCAAAATTTGAATCAAAATGAGATTATTTCAGTTCACACATCTTTGGGTGTTTCAGATTCAAACGGGGGTTTGTTTAAAAGTTGATTGACTACTTGACGAAGTATAATGCCATCTTTTTGAAGGACTGCCAGTCATAAAGTATTGTGTGAAATGGGTAGCGTGAATATGTTTGTTTGTTTGGTAGCTAACGTAGAGGACATAGGTTCACACGTATGAACATCAGTTGACAAAGTAGTTAGGAGGAAGAAAATACCAAAGGTGAGATTAATTTTTATGAAGAAAATATACATTGGATATTAACTTTAATAACACTGACTTTTTATTAAAGTTAACGAGTTTTCTTGACTGGGTGACATGATCAGTGCTGGAGAAAAAGCTATACATGTACTGTACTTTGTAAACTTAGAGAAGGTATTTGACAGGTTAACATTGTTATGTTATTACTGCACTTCAACAACTAAGGTCTTTAAGCATGAACAATTAAAAATAATGAGAGATAGAAATGTCTCTTGATTTTGTACATACTGTACATATACAGTATGTGCAGGATATTAGCAAAATAACTAATAAAAATTTCTTGTTTCATTAAAATTGAGAGAGACACTCTCTTACCCTTCTCTTCGCTGGATTTAGCACTTACTTTAGGCATGGTAACAGATATATACATGCACAAATGCTGGAAGAAACAAAAGTAAACCTGGGAGACCACAACAATGTGTGGCGAGGTGCGGCAGGAAAAAGATTGATCATGCCAAAACAATGATGCGTTAGCGCAGGGGTTTTCAAGCTGGGGTTTGCGAATACCCAGGGGTACACAGGAGGGTTAATGTAATACCATTCTATATTCAGTATCTCAGTAATGGGGGTATGGGTCAATGGTCTGATAACTCAGGGGGTACCTGGTGAGAAAAAGTTTGAGAACCCTTGATCTAGCAGAAGGCTCTGCTGATGGAAAAGCAAATACCAACATAAATTTGTTCCACGAAAAGGAATTCCTTTATAAGGAATGATTAATGTACAGACGTACAAAATCTATAGAACCATATTATTGTGACATGCTAAAATAACCTCTGTGATGCTTGATAATGTGTTCCACAATGCAGCAGACAGATGTGAGATTTGCAGAGACTGATGGTACTCACATTGAATCTTAGACCTAAGTTTGATATCAAAAGTGTAATTGATTGTGTTACAGTAATACAGTTAAATCTTGAATTACCATTTATTTTATTCTTTTTTTTCAACCAAATACCTGTAGATAGGAATTTTTGGACCACAATATTTGATAATGTTACCCTTCATGCTGGAGGCTGGCCAGTTATAGGGCCACCTGAATTTGTTTAGATGTAGAAGGTGTTGCCAACACAACAACCACACCCTAAATTAACAACCTGTATGACCCAGTGTCAAGGGAAGACCAATAAGACTGGACAACATGCCAATTACACTGGCCAACCATTACCCCAGAATACAATCTGCAGGCATCGAACCTGGGACCATTTGCTTGCGAGGCGAGCATGCTGACCATTACACCACAGATCTAGTACATTATTGTACTGGTGACTGCATCTCCTCAAGGGTTAGCTTTTGGTATATGAATCACAAGATGATTTGTGGTGATTATTTTTATTGTGTAGTTGGTAGTACTGTAGTACAGTATGCATGAAATATCCAATCTAAACTTGATTTAAAAATGGGATTTCAGCATCAGTCTTTAATTTATTGTCTTCTTTTTCAAAATGACTTCTGACTAATTACTTGGAAGACACTAGGCATTCATAATATACGTACAGTATTTATTGATGATAATCCCTACTATTTCAGAAACGCACATAATAAAGGATAATCCAGCATTTAGTATGGTGAATGACTCAGACGAGGATGTGATATACGGTTCAGATGATGACACCAGGAGGCCCTTAAATAGAGGCAGTAATGACAACGATGAAAGTGATTAAGGAAAGTTGAAGGTAGTGTAAATTGTCCTCATTTGATATAAGAGAGTGAGCGAGTGAGGAGCAGGAGGCACACAGTACTGTACAGTACAATATTGCATCAGGTCATAAAACATCCAGCAAGAGATGGATAGTTTGGGGAATATTTCTCAGCCATATAGCTACATATATGTTGGATATAGCTGTTTATTTATGGAAAAGTTTAAATATTTTAATGAAAAACTAAAAAATACTAAAAAGCAAAGTATTTTAATGGAACAGACTGGTAATCAATAAAGATTTAACAGATTTCTTATTTGAATTTACATACTGTGTTTGTTTTGTGAATTTCAAACTCTAGTTGTGGGTAAATTGACCTTTTGATTGGTTTCATGGTTACCCTGGCCTTTTATTTTTTTTGCTAAGTATTTTCTTGTACATAAAATATTGTTAAATCTTTCAAAATACAGTAATCAAATTTTCCCTTACAATACAGTATTGAGATTTCATGAATGGCAGAGTTTTAGTGTTTGCTCTGTTGCAAAGTGTGTCACAATGATGATCACTGATCAGCCATGGTAAAGGTTGACACCACTGTGTTCGGTCTTATGATACCGGAGGATTTTACACGACGAAGAACTGAATACAGTATATGTGCTCTTCTGTGCCCAATTCTCTGCCAGGTCTTTACATGACTGAAACGTATGTATGTGTGCAATATTATACCCAATCTGTTTGGGTTTCTATTAGACCTTAAGAGTATCTGTGTATTACTGTGTCCAGTCTTTTGATGCTTAGCCTGATGATTTTGGTAAATAAGATACAGTATCTCATTTTAGATCTAAATGATTATTTTTTACTCATCAGGTGATTGTCATGTGTCTTATTTTATACTTTTTATGCAGGTGAACTTGTTCATTTGTGTTAATGTCTATGCCGATAGTTGTGTGTGTCATGATGATATGTCTCTATTTGTTAAGTAAATGATATTAATATTGTTGTAAAAATATTAAATATAATACTTCACGAGAAAAGTAAGCTCCTTTACAGCAATTTGTGGCTTCCCACTGAAATAGATTTATAATTCATTTATATGTATGCTATAGCTACTAATGAAGTTTTAATGGTTGTTAAATTTGGGAAATAAAGTACAGGAAATCATTCAGTAACTGTCAGTACTTACATGGTGTACACCCTGGCACCAGTGAGATCATAAATAGGAAAGTCTGCAAATGATTCTCCTGTGTCTGAATGTCCCAAGGAAATCTTTGATTGTGAAGGTATTTGCTTGATTAGGCTTGAAAATAGATCTTCTTAATATTTTACCTGAATGAGTGATGGCAAATCTGTGAATAGATTAGGCAGGTTCTTATACTTACTTACTTGACTACCTACTCCCTGACAGGTAAAGTCTTGTATCTATCTTTTTCTGTTGACAGCTAAGTTAGGGGAGCAGTTGCACTTAAGGATATTTGTGAGGGATTCTGTTTATATGTGACAAGGTCCTTAATCTTTCTCTTCTACCCTTTCAGTTCCTTCTTACAATGACAGAAAATATGAAAGACCCATTTTTTAAGGCTCAATGCCCCAGGGGATATCTCTGGTTATGTACTGTATTACCTTGGAACTCTGGTACTATTAGAACTGGGAAGACTAAATTTATATATTCTTCAGTTTTCTGAACAAAGTTACTGGTACTGTACTTCCCTGTGTCCTCCCGTAATTTGAAACCAAGAAGTGTCTCTGTGATGAGGTTTCTGAGGTAAATTGGTGTACAGTTTAGTGATGCAAATCTATTACCGGTAGGCAGAATTTATCTACTAGAATTACAAGCCGTATTTGTTATTACAAAGAAAAAACGGGTCACAGTTCATAAAGAGTAACTCAGTGTTCCCATATTAGGTTTTCTTTTATTGTGTAACTCCCTTGGTTCTTTAATTGTTTATGCCTTTCTGTATTAAAGGGAACTTTAAATTCTTATTGCCTTTGGATTTTTTGTTGTAATACCGTATATGATAGCAAACAAAGAAAAGTCATTGCCAGAGGTTGGCTTACTCCACTATATTTTTGCAAATAAATTGTGAAAGTTCGTTAAGTATATATTCAGTACTGTTGTACTGGTTTATTTGTTAAAACAGTAATTGATAATAATCACTTTGTTGAGTAGTTTACTTTACTGGTGTGTAAATAATGTACAGAATATACAAATTCCCTAGGGAATTAAATATGGATTCCCTTAGTTAATGTATATAGATTAATGTCATTCAACAATAGACAAATCCATTAAGTTTAGAGCAATTGAGTTAACTCACTCTGGGGAGAAGCGAGAAGCCGATTGTTTTGTTTACAAATGCTGACATTAGTTCAGGGCGATCAGGCAACTACAGAGTGATCTGTGCCCAGGGTTCTAGTCATAGGTATGTGTGGTGTTTCTATATAAAAGCAAGAGTGAAATAGCAGTTTATATAAACTCAACAACTCAATTGTGCTATTACACTGTATTTTAAATACACTGTATACAGTACTTTGAGTTCTTGCTATTAATCTTAGGTGCTTAATACTTGTAGTTGGTTTACATTGTATGAGTTCACAAAGTTCTGCCATCAACAGACCCAGAAAACAATTTTTTATATGAAGAGGACAGCCAGTGGAATGATCAGAGTAATGTGTTGCCTGTGGTCTGTCAGTGTTCAGTTATGCTATTTTTTATTATTGTTTCAAATCCTCCAATTTTCTGAGACTCCCAAATACTGTAGCCGATTCTCCGATTTCCAAGGTTCTACTGTATACATATTCTGCGTGAGGGTCATGATGTGCTATGTACATTGTACATGTTCTTTTTATATCCACATTATAATGTAAAACAGGCCATAGGGACAGCTCTCTTGTTACTGTCTGTGTATTCTGTCTCTTATTTTTCCTTGGCTCCCACATGCCTAGGTTGGATCCAGGTAACAAATGGTCAGGGAGAGTAATGCACGAAAATTGTAGAAAGTAATAGGACATGAGACTTTAAGTAATAATGTGGCTGTTTAGTTCAGTAGTTATGCACCACTTGCTAATATTCCAGACATTTTACTTTTAACCTTCAACTTTGACCTTTAACATTGACTTACATTTAGTGTTCTATACATTATGTAATGATGATTTATACTGTATTGAGTTGACATTTCATCAGAATCTGTCATAACAGATATCGACAAGAGTAAGTTATGGGACACTTAAGACAAGCAGGCAGACACCCAGATGGATGAATTGGCTCATACCATAATATATATTTTTTTATCTCTCTTCAAAAAGTGAAAAAGGAGGAAGTGATTGTTATCTTCAATAGACATTTTTACATATGCAAAATATGACTGTTGTATGGTTGTAAGTACAACACATTTTCATATTTACAGTACAGTACTGTATTCACCATTGTTATGGCTACTTGACATCCCAGCCTATTCTAGTGGGAGAACCATCCATTGGATGACAAGCAGTTTAGAATTTGTGTCATCTATAAATGTCTATATCTGTTGTGGCACAGTTACCTAGGATATACAACTGTATTGCTCAACAGGTTAAATAATGGGTATTGTTAGCAGCTTTAATCCTTTGTACAGTATGTGATATTTTGAAAGTGAAGGCAGGTAGTAGAAAGTTTGAAAGCTCTCCCTGGGAAATGTTGTGCTGTGGGAAGTATAATTTCTCATGTACATAGATGTTAATATAAAGACGCCATCAAGAAAACTCTTATTCATATTCATTACTGTGCCCCTTGGATCTTATTTCTTTAACATTTTGTCTCTGTGGCATGTGAAGATCTCAGATCACTCTGTTAACCACTAGAACCTGTGACATTTGAGGATCATGATACTTCATCCACCTTTCTCTGTGGCATTTGTGGAGCACGGATCTTGCCGCTTGAACTACCTGCTTCCCAACAGTGCATTGTAACAGACCATCTGGAATGGTCTTCTATCAATCCTCAGATAAAGCATAATTTTAGCTTTTCATAAGGCTAAAGAGACATCATAGTAGTATACCGTAGTTGTGTATCATACATTGCATTTTTATATCGACTTTGGTAACACAATGTCTCATACATTGTTAATGTACTCATATAAATATATTTTAAAGATACTTACTAGCAGGTACAACCTGTCATCTCTTATTTTTTCACAGATTTTTATACAGTAGAATCCACAAGTTCACATTTCTTGGAACCAACATGGTGGCAATGTTAACAACTTGTTGAAGTTATGATCAGGTTATAACATAGGCTCCTAGACCCTGGGACCACAAACCCAATATGACAGGTACTGTACCAACATGTCACACACATGTGTAAAACCCAAATTATCATGTACATAAAAACTTTACACCATGAATACAATATTTAGTGCTGTATACTATTGACTCCAAGAGTCCACTTTAACCACAATGAGACTGGAATTGGCCATAAATAGAAAAAGAATAATTCATGTACCGTTCTGTGTAGAGTAAATCATAATTACCGTGTATAAAGCCAGTGTCTTTTCACTCAAGTGGGAATTGTTGTAAGCCTCATGAACAACATGTTTGTGTGTCACTTGGAAAGGAAGGTACATACATGGTTTTGTAGGAGGTGGGGGAGAGAGAGAGAGAGGGAGGTCTGTAGACTCATATGGAGGACCAATACAGTTGTGGTACACAGCTGACTCCCAGTACAGTACATGGGACTATAGGTACTATATGAAGTTCTGTGAAAATTTACTGTAAGCCTTAACTGAAGTGTAGACTCATACCTTCAAGTGTTAGCCCAGTGCTGCTGCTTGCATAAAAAGACAGAGCCGACAGGTCTTTTAACTAGGATTTTACACATCTGCTGATTTCAAGACCTGGCAGAGGCATCTGCTCAGAAACTTCATTTACTTACTCTTGTGGCTTTTGAATTTTTAATACATTATTATTTGGGGGGGGGATCATTAGTTGAAAGGAACTAAGCCAGGATGTCATCTTTCTATGAGTGAACTAGTGGTATTCTACTGTCCCATTAGTTCTTTTGTGTGTTTGTATAAGTTGTCCAAACTCTCAAAGATTTAGAGAGCATTCTGTTTAAAAATTATATTTAGTCCTAACATTGAATAACCTACAGTACAGTTGTGTGTTTAGCTCTTTAAGGAAATGGATGTAATTGTCATTATGTTTGATGTAACATTTATTAAGAAATGTGAGAGGTTTTTAATACAACATGGTTGTGTGTGTTGGTGGTTTGACAGAGATTAGCAGCAGAGCTTTGCTTTGTCGGAAAATAGATCTCACATTAATAATTCAAATCTTCATGTTAGTTACCGTATGTGGCTTCAGAAATTTTTTAATGACATTACATAAGAAAATAGTTTATAATTTACAACTAGAATTATCTTCAGAGAATTTAATTAAAGATGTGATAATGTGTTCCCATTCCTTTTTATTATTATTATTATACTGTATTATTATTATTATTATTATTATTATTATTATTATTATTATTATTATTATTATTATACATGGAGAGTGTACACAACTATAATATCAAAACTTCTGTTAAACCAGTCAGCCTTCAAATCGCTTACATGTATGAAAACTTTGCTTGATTAATGTCATGATTGGGAGGATTACTTCAGGAAGCTGTCCGTGCCATCAAAGTTTTTTTTTTATTAATTGCCAAAGATGTACAAAAGAATGTATTTAAGTTGGTTGTTTATTATGTGTGATGACAAGACATGTTGTTGTGTGTTTGTGTCTGTATCATATGTAAAGTAGTGAAGCAAAACAATGTACCTACAATCTTCCCAGAACATTTCGTCCACCACACATCTCCAGAGGTTTACTGTCAAATGGATCTCATCCTGATAAGGTGTAGCCGAACCATTAAGATTTGTACCCTTTAGACCTGGGACTCCAATTCAGATAGTCAAGTTAGGTTAAAGTTTTTTAGGGCTTGGGTTTATTTGACCAGTCACCTCTCGAGACACTAGTACTGTATTCTACTGAAATCCCAATGGGAATACTTGGTAATATTTGCTGAAGAATTGTGCTCTATGGTAACTGTAACTATTTACTTTTTTTTCAGTTTATAAAAAAATACCTAAGACGTTTTTGTGGTCCACATAGATACAGTATACACTATACACTTAGGATTTATTTGCTCTTGAAAATTTTGTGTAGTTTATTCTCTAGTTTGGTCACTCCTATCCATGTCTCTACTGAATTTGTTTAGGTGAATATACAATACAGCACTACCAAAGAGGGATGAGTATAGGAGTGTTTATATACTGTTATAAGTCATAGAAAGTGCAGTATAGAGTATGTACAGATAAAACCCAGGGTTCTTTAATGTTAAATTTGTAAACTCTTAAGTGAAATACTTATATCACAAGTTACAGATAGTTATCAAGTGAATGAAATACCTTGTATACCTGTAAGTCTCAGGAGATGATATTGAAAGTCAGTCCATGTTTAGTGTGATAATTTAATAATATTACCTACTGAAATACAGGATTTTAACAATATTGATAATTATTTTCTACATCGTTGTGTGGAATAAATACAAGTGGTAGATAAGCTGGAGCCATTAGTAGTGGCCAGCAAGTGAGTTGATGCAGAGTAACACACACACTCATGACTGCAACACACCCATTTACTTTAATAATTTCTAATAGAATAATGAAATAAATATAATTAATGCTAATTTTGGCTTTATAGGTATAATAACTTTGAAAATAAACCACAGTCCAAGTTATTTTCTTATCAACTACAGTATTGTACAGTCAGAAACAAAAGTCCTGCCACCTCTTCTGCTGCTCCATGAACCCTGAGATTCAGACTTGTATATCCGAAGTATTTATAGACAGAGTAGTGCATCAGTGCGTACTGCTTTGGGTTCACGAGTCTGAATCTTGGGGTTCGTGGAGCAGCAGAGGAGGCGACTGGACTTTTGTTCATGGCTGTACATTGAAAATAAAGAATCCTACAGTATTATGTATTGGCTATGAAATTATATCTGCCATTCACCACCCAGCTTGTGGCTCCTAACCATAACATACAGTATAATCCTAAATGTGTTATGGTATTAACCAGTCGAGGAAGAAATAGCTGTAAAATACTCACACTTTATTATTCATTCATTCACCTGGTAATTTGGACAGTTTGCAAGATATGTATATGAACTACAGGTATTTTAATTTTTGAGCTTTTGTTGTATGTTACTTGTTCCTAAGTTAAGTTTGACCTTTATCTGGTAGGTCAGTGCATATATCAATCATCTGTAGATTCAACTCCTGTATCTGTTCATTAACCCTTAAAATGGCGGCCATCATTGGTGGAAATTCCATGTTCAATTGCATTCCATTTTTTGTGCATATATTGTACAGTATATCCTTGCTAATGAAAGTCAACAACTATATGCACAATGCATGTAGAGATGATATACAGTCTCTCCCCGACTTACGACATATTTGACTTACGACAACCCTGACAAACGATGGCCCTGTCTCCTCTGCTTCATCCAATTAATGTAGTCTCCATGCTTAATTAAAAAATTATTGAGGCCCTGTGTGCATTCAGCTGACTACATTAAAGGCAAGTGCACAATAACACTTCATTCATTTTTCATTATTGATTACTTTTACTGTATACTGTATTTCATTTTAGAATTTCTATGTATAGTATTATTTTCGCCTTTTCGACTTACGACCTGGTCGTCGGAACGGAATCCAGTCGTAAGTCGAGGAGAGACTATGGAATTTGAATCGCAAATATATTTGATGCTCTATAAACTATGTAAGATGTATTGAGTAACACCAAGTGATATGTCCCAGCATAATGTAGCACTTGAGTTAGTAATGCCCATTCTGCCATTATAATCTAGCTTTAGTCCTGCTTAACCCCTCAATGATTTTATATATATATATATATATATATATATATATATATATATATATATATATATATATATATATATATATATATATATATATATATATATATATATATATATATATATATATATATATATACATACTGTATAAAGGTGAATATGACAAGAATATCATGATTAAGCTGTATATATTTTGTATGGATTACATATCAGTGCTACTCTTTTGACACACATATGCTGTAATATTATATATACTCAATCTATTTGTCAATACTATACATCTATATTTTTTCTTCAGTGTTCTATGATTTTATTGAATGTAAATGTATACATTCACTACAATCTACAATACTGTACGTATATGAAAGATAATCATTCACTTTACAATTAAGATAGATACTGCTTGAGCTCTCACACCCTGGCCACTCGAGAGGGCTGTATGTCATTTGTCTTGCAGTAACCAAAGTGCCATCTGCTATTGTACTAGAAAGACTCTTGCAAACTTTTGGTAGTTGAGCTTATGTGTAAAGGTTATCTTCTGTATTCTGCTGTGTCATGATAAAGGAAAGGAAGCATATAATTATTTACTGAGTTATGAGCAGTGGAGCATAAGATAGTTTCTCATAAGCTCTCCTGTGTTTCATGATAAAGTAAAATACATGATGAGACCACTCAAGGGACTGATGCCTGGAGGTGTGAATAGAGAAGAGGTATTGGTACAATCACATTTCCATTTAAAACAAAAGGCCACAGTACTGAAATGATGTGGAATAAAATTTAATTAAAATTTTATGAAAAATAGGTAGTTCATGTCCACTCGCTCCAAAAAGTATCTTCATGGTGGGGTCTGATGAATTTCAAAGTGAACACCACGACTCCTGTTGTCCCAGTAGGATTGTCAAAATCCTTCATCCATTTGTCATATTGTCTCACACAAAATAGTTTTCGATACTTTTGGAGCTCGCTCAGGAATCAAGAATATGAATTCAATATTTTTACTCATGTTGACAACACGTCCTTTTGACAGTAATCTTCACAAAGTTAACGTTAACACCAATACTGTATGTAGTTATACCGTACAGCAGGTGACTTTACATGTACAGCTCCTCCCCGACTTACGACGGGGTAAGGGACCCAAATCCAGGTCGTAAGTCGAAAATGCTTAAATAATACGTACATAGAAAATCTAAAATGGGTGTCTCTTTTTCTTCTCACCACCACAAAACTCTCACTTTTAAGATTGCAAGCCATTAAAATGAAAATTTTGTCTGTGTACTGATGTTGGGACTCGATAATACGTAATTTGACAAAATTTTGGTACGACTGAGGCAGGTCGTAAGTGCGGGCGGTCGTAAGTCGGGGAGGAGCTGTATTCAGGTTACAGGGTAAAAAGCTGGTTCAGGTGAATCTCTCTTTTTACATTAGTGTTTAACAAATTGTCTTGTACAGGATCCAATGCAGGAACAGATGGTCACACCAATCACACAAACATTATGAGATGCACACACAACATGTGCATAATACAGT